GATGACACCTTAGCCCAAGGGCCCACTGAAGAGCTGTGATCAGGCCAGGAGCTCTCTCCCTGCCACACCTCTGTGCCCACAAGGACAGACCCCAGAGTCTTGGCTGGGTGCCCTGCCTGTCCCAGGATCCATCTTTGTCCTTCTGGCTGCCCTCACCCTGATCCAAACACAACAGCGCGGAGATGGGGAAGGGCACCACATCTGGGGAGACCTCGAGGCCACACAACTCCACAGGATAAAAGGCCCACTGCTGACATTAAAAGCAAAACCCTAGACATCTCCAGCTGAATCCTGCAAGCTGCAGCAGATCAGGGGCTGCAGATCCCGTGGCACAGCCCCTCTCTCCTTATAAAGGGGGCCCACTAACTTGGTTTCAGTAGCCCTAATTTCGTGTCCTTCCTTTGTATCTTTTTACAAAGGAGTGAACAAGAAGAGAAAACAGAACTCAGAAAATTCGATAAAAGTTCCAAATTGTTTTTCTACCTGAGAGAAGTATCCCAAGTATCTGAAACACGGGCTGAGGGCATGATGATTCCTTCACACTGCACCCTGAAAAGGACACCATTAGCACAGCCACTCTGGGGGCAGCACAGCCGGAGCCACCCCGGGAAACGGCACGGACCCGGCATCCAGTAACAACTCCAGTGGCGTAATGGCCACAGGAAATGCTTGTCCACGTGAACAAGGAGACTGTACATTGTGTTCCAGAACCTCTAAGACGTGAAAGCTGCCACACGCCTAGAGCCCATCGCTAGGAAACTGGCTAAGGCAGGCTCCATATGGAGAGCGCAAGGGTGCAGCAACGCTGTCCTGGTACATGAGCGACAGCGCCCTGGTGATGTCCTGCACGGGGCAGTGCCGCGGGAAGTGTGCCGTGCTCGCTGGACACGACTTAAGCCAGAGCACCGGGGACTATGTAAGGTTCTGGTGCTTCACAATGGCACTTGCTTTGGCCTGCTTTCCGTAGCCCTGAAGTAGAAATACTCCTGTCTCTCAGAACTATTTGGGGCACCAAATGGGTTAATGCACGCTAAAGACTTAGAATGATGCCTGACACAGTAATCGCTGTACAGTTAGGAACTTTCAAAAATGATGGCCCTGTGGGAGCTACAGATGTGCAGCGAAGCAAAGCCACAGAGCGTAAATCTGCCACATGCATGGCATCGCAGCGCACACGGTCAAGCACTACTCGTGTCCACCGGAGAAGCACATTCCCTGTGGGCTCCTGGTGTGCAAGCACGTGGAGGAGCGCCTGGGAGAAGAAACCACACAGAGGTGGGGATCCCGAAGGGCTGTGGAATGGTGATGGAGAGAGATGCAGGGAAACGCACGGGTGGATGAGGCGATGGGTGGGCAGCCACACATGAGTGGACAGAGAGCAGGTTCACCCAAGCTGGTCATTTCGGAGGTGTGGTTACAAAGCATCAAAGAGGACTCTGATCATGAGTGCCCTTTTGCACCAGGGGACCAGACCACACAGCTGTCCCACCACACAAGGGAGGGTCCGGTGCAGAGCTGCCCCCTCCATGAGCCCACTCTGTCTCTCCAGGACACCCTGGAGCTGCCACAACACAGGCCACAGAAGGGGCCTCCCTGTCCACACTGGCAGGAATGGGAAAAGCTAAATGACAGAGAACCATGTTGTTGTTTTTAATTAATGAACCTGTTGATGCTGTCTGGCGGCACACTGGACACTTCCTCCTGTTCCTGCAAAACAAAGAGAGTGCCCTCCACCAGGCCGCTTCCGCAAGTCTGCTCTGCTAGCGCAGGACTGGGAGAGAGGCAGAACTGTGAGCAGGGTCCCCATCGTCCCCCATCGGGGGCCTGCTCCTGCTGCCCTCCCGGACTCCTCCGTACACAGCCTGGGCAGCTCCCCGGGGGCTCCCAAGCATCCAGAGGGAGAGCTGAAACTCTTCCCAGCCTTATGAGACACACTGAGTCATTGTTTTTATGGAGGTTAGACGGTTTGGGAGCCTCTTATTCTACTAGCCCAAGAACAACTACAGTATCCTGTCTGTTTCTATTATAAAATATAGTAATAATTTCTTCTCCCTGACGTTGTTTCATTAAAACCCCTGACCATCTTGGCTTCCTTTAAATTTTTGAGATAAACTTCCCAAACAAAGCGAAGCATCTCCAAGGCAAGCACCTGCTCTCCCCAGTCCTGGAAAGGCTCTCCTGCCTTGGGTGACTTGGGCCAACAAAAGCTGAAAGGTTCTGAGCAGCTGTGGGACGGAGACCGGCATCAGCCGCATCCTTAGTAGTGGGTGGCCTTGGCATGCAGACCCTTTCTCTGCCTCAGCTGTTTCCATCTGAAAAATGGGCATAGGCCAGGAGGAGGGGAGCACCCATGAGGAGCTGTTCTTTCCTCAGCCTGGCGGCAGCCCCCTCACTCCAGGGTCCCTCACATGCCCCGTACCCCATCCGTGCGGCTGGCTCTCTCCACTCTGATCATTCTCTTTCCTCTGGCCACTGAGCCCAGGGCGGGGCATGGCTGTGTGGCAGAGAGAAGGGTCTGGTTTCCCTGAAAATGGCTTGTCCACTAAAACCGCAAGTCTTGATCTGATACTGAAGGAATCCGCTGGCAATGGGCCCTGTCAGAACAGCTCAAGGCCCCCAGGGCTGATCTCCAGGGCTGGCACAGGCCTCACCCGGAGCTCCCGGCACCACTCCTTGCAAGGGAGCTTAATTCTACAGCCAGACTCTGTTCTACTACCCCACCTCTGGAAAGCAGCATATGCACGATCATGTGCATGCACACACACACACACACACACACACACACACACACACACACTTTCAGGAAGCTCTCGGCACTGCCCTCCTTCCTCAGCTGGGCACTGCCAGGGCAGGCTCTGCCGAGCCAAGACGCCTCCTGCATTCCCAGCCCCCGCTGGCTGCCCCAGAGTTGGGCTTTGTCAGGGGGTCCGGAGGCAGTGAGGGCCAGGGAAAGGACACAGACCTCGTGGCTGCTGCCAAGTCCCTGGTCTGCCCCACTAAGCGTTTGATACGCCGGCCTGTAGTTTATTCTTCTCCCAAACACTTTAGGGTGCAGGGCTGGAGTTGCCATGGAAACTCCTGTAACTCCTCCTGGCCTGGGGCTCCACAAGGCAGGAAAAGGAGACAGCTGTGGGTGAGGGCGGGCCATGGCAGGCTCGCGAGCCTTTCCCTGGTGCACAACGGGCCACTAGAAAAGGTCTGGAAGGGGAAAGTGGGCTCTGCTCTGGGGGCAGGGCCATGGGGCTTGGGCACCTCCCTGGCACTCTGCCTTCACCAGCAGACTTCTACCCAGGCCAGCCCAGCCCCAAGGCCCACACGGGCCAGTCGGGAGCCACCTACTGGCCAGCCAAGTGCTAGGGCAGCAGCAGGAGGTCAAGAAGCCCGCGCCCACACCCGCACCTCCCATTTTTAAAAGCATGAGCTCATCTGGGCTCCAGTGCCGCGCACCAAGCCCAAGCCAGCAAGTTTGGGCCTGCGCCACCACACCGGAGCTTCCCTTCTTTGCAGATCTTTACTGCTACACCATCCTGGGGCTACGGGACCTCTTGGTCCCTGAGCTTTTCTCTGGGAACTTGAAGGGGAAAGAGCCCAGATCTTGAATACTAGCAGGGTAGTGAGGAGCGGCAGCAGCACCAGCCCAGCCTGCAGCAGAAACAGAAAGTGCAAAGGGAGCAGGTGGCAAGTGCAGAAGCCTGGGAAGCAGGGTCTGTAGGCTCCTGTCCCAATCTGGGCCCCCAAAGCAAGAACAGGTCGGGGAGGCCCCAGCTGCACACACCCAGTCCAGGCTGGAGCACAGCAGGCTCTGGCTCTGGTCCACCTGCTGCCTCTGGCCCAATGCACTCAGAGCAGAACCAGAACTGAGCAGCCTGAGCCGGCCATGGTGGGGTGGAGGTGCTTGGGAAGGGAGGGCAGGAAACCTCCCAGGGTTCCTCACCACCCGAAGGGGCCTGGCAAGCATTGCCTACCCAGGCCACAGATCCCCAGGAGGGAAGGATGTGGCTGCAGTCCCAGGAGCCTCACCACCAAGGGTGACCCAGTCATACAAACACCCTCGGCTGCCAGCTGTACTGACTGGGTCCCCACCAGGACCCCATGGCCATGCCCCTCCCAACCCCAGTCCCTGTGCCCACTGCCAGTACCACACACGCCTCTTCGGACACACTCACTCCATTCTTCACTTCCAGAGGCACAGAGGCACTGGTGGGGGGGTGCACAGGGTCTCACCTGCCACCCTGGGGACTCGGGGCAGCACCCCACATGGCAGCAATGTGGGGCCATCTGGTGTACACAGGGCTGCACACCAGGCACAGCAAGGACACGGGACTGTGCACCCCACACAGCAGGGACTCAAAACTTCCCAGTGTGCATACAGCACTCCATACACAGTAGGGACATAGAACTGCCCTGTGTGCGCACAGCAGGGACATGGGACCGAGCACTCCACTAGCAGTGATGCAGGGCAGTACTCCATACACAGCAGGGACACAGGATAACATGCCACACAAAACAAGGCCACTGTGTGCACACTTCATGAGCTGGGCGGGAGGACAGCAAGCGACCCTCCAAACACAAGTGACCCCAACAGTTCAGAACACATCCTGCTGGAACCTCCCATCTCTCATCAAGACACAAAGTCCAGCTGGGGACTGTCACCACGATGTGAGCCTTGTCATCTTTGCTCTTAAGGGAACAAATCTGTCTCCGCTGCTCACCCCTCCACACACTTCAAGCCCTCCCTGAGTGTCACAGCCCTGGGCTCGGGTCCTGCCCCCTGCAGATGCACTGCGCTCAGACAAGGATCCTCCTGGTTAGTGGGGGAATTGGCACCCCTCAACGACCCAGACCCTCAGGACCCAAGTTCCAAGCGCCCCTGTGTCCCGCCTACAGGGCTCCAGAGCCGAAGAGGGAGACCCCAGGATCCTGAGTCTGCAGCCCCGTGCAGGGCTGCAGCTCCTACCAAGGCGGCCTCAACAAGGACTCAGAATGCAGCCGGCACTCACCAATGTCGGAGTTGCAGAAGGCGTCCTGAGGGTGGCTGGGCGAGCACGTGCATGCCTCGGCGCCCCAGGGCCCCAGGCTCCAGCTACCCAGCAACACAACTAGCCCGAGCCAGGGAGCCATCGCCCGCCGGACCGCGCTGCTGCTCCTGGTCCTGGGGTGCTTCAGCCGGGCCTGCGGGGGCGCTGCGGGGGCGCACAGGACCCCGGAACCGAGAGAAGGACGGCGGGCTCCGGGAGAGCGGGACTGTAGCCGGGACCGTGCGGAACCCGAGCAGAAGGAGCGCAAGGAGAAGCTGTCCACCAGCGCCACTGCCCCGCCGCGCCGCGGCTGGCCAATATATAGCAGGCGGCCGCCGGAGCGCCGCCCCCTGCGCCCCGCGACCAATGGCAGCGCCGCATTACCTCATCGTCCTCCGAAAAGGGGGCGGGGCCTGGGCGGGGCGGGGTCGGGCGCCACAGTTCCGAGCCTTATAGGGAATCGAGCGGCTCAGCGCGCGGGTGGGCTGGGGCGCTGGGACTGGGGACGGACCCGGGCTGCACTACGCCCCAGAGCCGCACCCGGACTCGACCACGTGCAGAGGCGGGATGACGCCCCACTTTCCAAGATGACCCATAGAGAGGAAGGCCTCTCCCTTTCTGCCTCCCTTCTTGTGTCCCTCCTCTCTCCCTCACTTAGAGCGTCTGCCCTTTGCAGTTAGGTGCGACTGGTATCTTTTACCTGAGCTCCTCTGGAGCAGATGCAGTTGCACATTCATTCAACAAACACTGCTCTGAAATGAGGAGCAGGCCTGTGAGTAGGACTAAGCAAGCCTTTGCTGCCTGGAAATCCACAGTGCACAGTTCCCTGCCATGCCAGGGCCTTGCGTCCCCGGGGACAGTAAGCCATGGCTCTGTGAGTGTCGCTGGCTGAGCTGGAACCGGGAAAACAGGTGTAAGAGCAGAGATTAGGGAGAAAAGAGCGAACTGGTTCCTATTCTTCAGGCAGGACTGGGGAGTGAGATGACCAAAGCTGGAGTGGGGCCACAGACGGCCTGTGAGTCCTGAGCGTGCGGTTCCCCTCAGGGGACAGCTCCTGGGGCCACTGTCTGGGTTCACAGGCAGATGCCCACCTGCCTCTGGAGGACCCTCTGGGCCAGCTCGAGGGCCAGCTGTCCAGACTGCATCCGCAGGGAAGCCTGACCACAAACACCACCCCGCGGCCAGGGTCTCCTCTCCTCCCATCCCATGTCCCCCTGCTCTTCCTGGGTGGGATGCTGCTGGAGCAGCCCCTCGCTCACCCCCGATGAGTGACATTAGGAAGGCGGCAGTGCAGATCATGGGCGGTGGGGTCTGAGGACTTTGTGGAGCCTTCTTCCCCCGGCCCCCATGTATCACCTTAGCAGGAAGGCAGCTCTGCCTGTCCTGGCTGCCCCACCCAGCCCCAGACACTGCCCCTCACTCGGCCCACAGCCTCCCCAATGCTGGCTCCTCCGACTCTGCCAGCACCGTCCTGGGGGTCTGGCTGCATTGCCCCAGCCATCCTGCCAACACTGCTAGGAGAATTGGCCAAGCCACTTTTTAGCCCCTGAGCACAAAAGTGGGTCCCAGGTCTCAGATGTGGGTGTGGCTGGTGGTGCCTGTAATGCTCACAGTGGGTACTGTGGGGTGCCCCAAGGAACCAGGCTGAACAAGGACATAGTTGGTGGGATTTGAGAGACTGGTGGAAACTTGTGTGGCACCAGTCATGTGGAAGGCTTTAGGTGCCTTTCCCAGCCAAATCCATTCTGGATAAGCACCTTACGTGTGGGTGCTCTCTCTTCCATTACAGTTTCATCCAGAGTGCCCGTGTGTCCACAGGAGAAGCCTGCCTGGGTCCTCAGTGCCCGTGCGTCCACAGGGGTTAGCCTGCCCGGGTCCTCAGTGCCCGTGTGTCCACAGGGGCAGCCTGCCCGGGTCCTCAGTGCC